AGAGTAGAATGGCTGAAAACATGGCAATCATTTTAGAATGCATATTATCATCTCAAGTTGCTCGGAGGTTGAGGGAGGAGACCGGGGGAGGGGGGGGGTGATATGATGGATTACTATTTAGCAGGTGTTATCACTGACGGCTGCAGCAACTCTGACAGGGAGCCTTCTGATCACCGCTTTACAGAGGGGAGGTTGGGGCCTGAGAGCTACCTGTCCCATCCTGCCGACCCCACCTTTCCTTGGAAGGTAGCTCCAGGACACCCCACTCCCTGGGGCCAGAAGGGTCCCATCTCCCCCTCCCTCACGAGGAGGCCGGGCACCAACTCCTAAAGCGGGACCAAGCCAACTTGGATCTGGGATTCCTCTGTCTCCCGGCACCCCTGGGAGCTTCACTCCTCACCACTGTTGGGCTCAGAGCCACCACCATTTCCAAAAGACCTTTCTTTATGAGGGACTCTGCTTTTCCAGCAAGGCCACGTAGGTTGCCACTAAAAAGTCATCATAGCCGATAAAGTCGCAATGATGACGTCGAGTTTCCATGACAACACAGCTGCTACTCCCCTCCAGAAATGCTTCTTTAAATCCCTTTGTTACCTTGTGTTTCCATGAAAAAAGACCTTTGCCTTCCCGCCACCACGCCCTCACCCCTCACGCTCTGGGAGATGAGCGAGGCCCTGGGAAGGGGGGGGACATGGAGAATCACGCAGCGTGACGAAGCACCCTCCGTACAGAACACTGAGAGACTGTCCCTAATCACGGGACTGGAAGATCTGGAAACCAAAACGTCACATAAGGGACCTCAGAGTTTCTGGGAGGCAGGCCTACAAGAACATAGGCATATAGTAGGCAGAAACCTAGTCAATCCCACCATGCATTAGTTTATCCTGGGGGATTCTAATCCCCCATTCCTGCTGTTTTCTACCATGGGAGGGGCGGCCATGACCAAAACACATCCAGTCCCACTCCACACTCACTTCCTCTAGAGCAAGCATGCCTTTCCTGGCTGAGGAGTTTGGAAGGAGAAAAACTGGTCAGCCAGGCCCTCTCCCTCCAGAACTCTGAGGACACAGCGTCCCTGCAGGGCCACTTGCTCTGCTTTGCCCGCGGGGTGAGCTCTACTCCTCTGTCTCAGTGGTTGCCCAATTACTCCAATGTCCTTGTTCCAAAATGCAGGATCATGAGGGGTCGGTCCCCCACATACACTCCTGCTCCAAGTCTGATCTTTCTACCAACTAGGAAGATCCACAATGAATAAGAACAATACACATGGGGCTGGCGCTGTGGTGTAGCAGGTAAAGCCACCGCCTACAGTGCCAGCATCCCATACAGGCACCAGTTTGAGACCTGGCTGCTCCACTTCCAATCCAGCTCTCTGCTATGGCCTGGGAAAGCAGTGGAAGATAGCCTGGGTCTTTTGGCCCCTGCACCCACGTGGGAGGCCCAGAGGAAGCTCCTGGCTCTTGACTTCAGATCAGCGCAGCTCTGGCCATTGCAGCCATCTGGGGAGTAATCAGCGGATGGAAGACCTTTCTCTCTGTCTCTACCTCTCTCTGTAACTCTTTCAAATAAATAAAAAAAAAAATCTTTTTTTAAAAAATGTGATGTGGCCTAGTCCTCTGAGGGCTGACAATAACGGTCCAACCTCTTCATACAAAGGCCTTGATGGACGTGTTCTATACAAGCATGGATGCACCTAAACCTGCAGCTGCATCCCAAGCCTGCTGACTCTGCGTCCTGTGTTCCTTCAGCCAATCACCCTTCCCCACCCTGCCTGCATATCACCGCAGGTTGCCCTGATGAGCAAAGTCAAGGTCATGTCTGACCACTTCCTATTCTTCATGCCTAGCAGTAGCTGAAGAGTGGGCCCAGACCAGAGTCTAGGGCCTGCCCTGAGTGACAGGATGTCACCATAACTACGACTTTGATTCCTCCACAGAGTTTCTCACGAGATTCCATTTTGGGGAGACTAAATGGCATTAGCTCTGTGGCACATCCTTTGCACCAAGAATCTCTCCTTTACAGGTTTTTCTTCAGAACATAGTGAGGGATGTTGATAAGGATCTGGCTAGGAGGACAGCCATTAAATAATTCC